TTGCTGGGAACTTCCGAAAAGGGGCGCATCTCTCACTGCTCTGGTCCCAGTCTCTGCAGCACGGAGAGAGACATGGTGACCTCTGGCAGTCCCTCACCCTTGGGGACTCAGGGCTTCTGTTTTGGTCAGGATTATTTTCCAGGCTGAAAATCAGTATCTTGGCCTTTTCCTGGTAAGAAGCAGAAATGTAATTTTCTGCCCTCTCTAGGGGGAAATAGGACAATTTATAGAACCGTTCTGCTGTTTTTAGCCCTCATTGAGACAAATAATTCATGTCCATCTCTCAGGGTGGCTTCTCCTGCTGATGGTCATAAATTGCCTAACTGCTTACTCTCTGACCTCTTGACCTTTTTGCTTTTTTGTTCAAAAAATATTATTAATATTTCTCTTAACTCCATATATAACCTCTGGCTGCTTCTCTCCTTTTGTCGGAGTGAAGTAGCATCCTTAGGGATTACTCCCTCTGCCTCCAGGTCTGTATGCTTCTGTCTGGGCAGGGCCCTGTCCAGGGGGGTGAAGATGAAGTCCGCAAGAGGAAGATCTGGGAGGCCCCAGCTTTGGGGAGATCCCAGACCGAGAGTAATCACAGCCATCATCTGCTACTTCCACCGCACCCAACCTTGTTCTAGGAGCAGTATAAACATTGACCCACTTAATCTTCACGACCACTACATAAAGTAAGAACTACTATCATCCCTCTTTTCAGAGGAAATAACCAAAGACTAGAGAGGTTAGGTAAATAAACTGCCCAAGGTCACACAGAAAGTAAGGGGCAGAAGCTGGATTAGAATCCCCTCAGGCTGGTTTCAGGGCCCATGTACTTGGCAATCACCCTGCTGCCTCTCTGATGGGGAGGGAGTACCCAGATTCTTCCCTGCCCTCAGGGAGCTCCAGACTGAGGGAGTATAGCCCTGGTCCCCAAGGAGCCCCAAGTTTGAAAGGGGAGGCAGATATCCTCTCCTGGGGAAGTATGTCTAGTCTGATAGCAGACTTTGCATTTGGGAGCATCTGTATAGCTCAGCCCCAGGATGCTCCCAGTTTGACGAGAGTTATGTGATCAGACTCCAGCAGATCCGGCTAATCCAATTAGACAGAATTGTGAACATTGGTGTGAGAAAGACGAGAATAAAGCAAATTTTGAAGGAGCTTCATTGGAGTTCTCCCTTGAGGGAGGGGAGGGGTTGCAGGATTGGCAATAAGCAGAACTGCTGGTGGAAGGAAGAGGGCAAGCCCCCTGTGGTGTGCAAACAATGCCTAGAAAGCAGGGATTTTCTTAGCTCAGTGATTCTCCACCCTGGCCACCCATTAGAATTACCTAGGAGTGGGGGGTTAAAAATAGTCATGCTTGGTGCTTCACTCTAGAACAATTAATCTTTGGGAGTGATGCCAAGGCACTGGTGTTTTAAAGCCTATCAGGAGATTCTAATACACAGCTGGTATTGAGGACCACTAGCTGGAGTTAGGGTCTTAAGCTCCGGGAACTGGTATTTGAGTGGCTTATGTAAAGGACATTCTGGAGAAGTGTGTTGGCTGTTTTCAATCAGTGGTTTACTATTGGATTCAACACCAACAGGAATCCCCAATTTGGGTGCAGTGAAGAAGGAAACCATATTCCGTACCAAACAGCTCAATTGTGACCCAGCACAGCCGTGAAAACAGCATGGCTGTGAGGCACCCCAGGGCCAGGCCCCTCTCCAGCTAGACAGCTCTACCCTGGGCTAGCCTGCCTTGTACTGCACTGGTCTGCTTCAGCCAGGGAAATACACAAGGTTCAGTCTTGGATGGAAATGGAAAGTATTCTCCCACAGCCACAGGGGAGCTGACTTATATAGACAGAAGTCTCCACCCCTCTTCCCTGATTGGTCTGCCCTCATGCAAATGAAGACTCAACTGCTCACAGTTTGATTGGTCCAAAAGTTACTGTCCTGATTGGTCAGAATAGAGCTTCTCTGGTTGGTAGGAGCTGTGCAGCTATTGTTTGAAATAGGATTCCAGGAACTCCCTTATAAGGACTGGCTCAAATGGCAGAAGCAGTGCAGGTAGGCAGTTCTGTGCAGAGGCAGGTAGTGCAGTGTAGGCTTCTCTCTGAAGTGTAGATTGAGTGAGAGGTCCTGGTGTAGAAAAGGCTGCTGGACAGTTTTTGAAAATTTGAGTCCAGTTAGCCACCAGAAGCTCTTCTTAATAGTTGTCTTTTTTCTCAGGGCTCACACTATGAACTGAGCTGCTAAGGATTTGAGATTAAAGTGAGGATGGACAGAAAGTTAAGGGACTGGGAGAGAGAGGTGAGATTACTGCTTTGGCTGCAAAGGATCTGGAGAAATTTAGTTCCTCTGTTGCTAGGGTTTGGAGGCAAGGAAAAAAAAAAGCCTAAGAAGCAAAAGCTCTGATCACCTAGTCCCTCCTTACACTGAGAATAACCATCAAACCCGAAGCTGGAAAGTGGGAAGGAAGTAACGTTTGGGCAGATACCTGAAGGAATTGGGGTATCTAAGAATATTCTTTTAGCTTCTGAACTTTTTCTTACATTTTCCTTAATCACTATCACCATGGGCCTCCCTTTCATGAACCTTCATGTAGAGTGAAAAGAAGAAAAGACTGTCTTACCCTGACCGGTTTGGCTCAGCAGTTTGAGCATCTGCCTGTGGACCAAAGGGTCACAGGTTTGATTCTCAGTGAAGGGCAGGTTTGACCCCAGGTTCAACCCCTGGCTCCGGTCGAGTCGGTCGAGTCATACAGGAGGCAACTAATTAATGTGTATCTCTCACACTGATGTCTCTCTCTCTCCCCCCCTCCCTCTCTTTCACTCTATCTAAAAATTAATGGGAAAATATCCTGAGGTGAGGATCAACAACAACAACAACAACACAAAACAAAAAAACAGAAAAGACTGTTTCACTGATACTCCACTACCTCAGGGCCTTTGCACTTGCTGTTACCACCTACCTGCTACATTCTCCCCTCAGAAGCCTGAATCCATGAATCCCCAATTCCTTCAGATATCTGCTCAAATGTTACTTTAGCAGAACAACTTTCTGTGACTACCTGTAAGAGAAATTTCTCCCTCCCTCCCACTTCATATTCATTTGTCATTCTTTATTTATTTGTCTCATGGCTTTTACTATAATGTGATATATTTTATATTTTTCTACTGTGTCTTCATCTACAGAATGAAACATTATGAGGGAAGGACTTTCTCAATATTTTTTTTTATTGTTATATCTCCAAGGCCTAGAATTGTGACTGAAACATAAGCAGGCACATATTTGTGGGCTGCATGATAAGTAAATGAAAATCACTTAAGGATATGCATATTGGTGTGTGACTGTATGTATTTGTGATTATATTCCTATTTCTTTGGGCCAGGTATGGCTCTATATTTTTAAACTCTGTGCTTGACCGTGCATATGCGTTTTTGAACATATGACAGATTCTCTGGGTCTGCGCATCATATGCTTCTGAATATGAGCTTGTGTGTTTTTCTGCCTGTGTTTCTGTATCCTCCAGTTGTGTGTGGATGTGCCTGGACCATTCATCCTTAGAAGAGGAGTGTGGCCGCCTCACTCCAGCAGAGGGCATCATAGAGCCACGCGCGGCCTCGCGGGCCAAAATGGAGTAATCTTGGCGGGTAGTGTTAGGGACCCAGGAGACCTAGAATCTGCGAGGAAACAAGTGGAGGCCTCTCTAAACCAACAGAGTACTGCAAAGTTGTGCAATTCCTGTCCCCCTCCCCCGCCCCCAACTCACATCCTAGGACCCAGACGTCCTGGCATCCCCAGCAGCCCTGTGAGCAGAAGCGTCTGGTCAGGCGTTAGAAGAGGAGCTGGTTGCCAAGCTGGGCTCCTAAGGAGGAGACTCTCTCTTCCCAGTACCTAGATCCCAAGCACAGAGGATTCCTACTCAGAGATCCTCCTGTGGCTGCCCCCTCTTGGCCCTGCAAAGCTGCAGCTGGCTACTTTTCCTCTTTCTGGTTGGGTAAATGCCTTGGATGAAGGAAGGAGTCAACGGCACCTCTCCCCCCAGCAAGGGCTAGCGGAGGACTCCAAACCAACACTCAGCCGGGCTTCGCTGTGTGCTGGGGGAGACGTCCTCTCTGGGGCTCCAGGCGGACCCAGGAAGCAGCTTCTGCAGCTCTGGGGAGATGAATGGATCCTCCTCAATCATTCATTAGTGAATTCAAAATTCCCAGTTTGGGAAACCTAGGGGTTAGATTCTGTGGGTGGGATTAACAAGGAAAACAAAACACAAGAAAGGGATTTTATGCTTTTTGACTCCATGAACCACCTTCTGCCCAACCCTCCTCTCCCCCCCACACTAACACACACCCAAACACACAGATGCACTCACACACTCTTCCCAACATCACGGTCCTCCACTGGACTAGAGGCTTGTCCTTAGTCCATGCCCCGCCTCCCTAATCCCCTGCCCAGTTCAGTAGCCCGGGACCGAGACTGGGAATATAAATGGGAGGGAGGCACGGGTGGGCAAGTGTCCAGTCGTCCCCGTCCCGGAGCCTGCGATTGTCACGCTCGTTACCCCCTTTGCCTTCGAGCCCCTTCTCTCTGCTCTCTTTCCATCTACGTTCCACCGAGGGGTGTGAGTGTGCTCGCGTGGGGCGGGGGAGGAGGAGCAGGCGGGCTGTGGAGGACGAGTAGACGTCAGGGGGAGGGAGGGAGAGAGGGAAAGAGGGGAAGGGTCGGGAAAGGGAGAGCAGAGATGAAAGAGACCCAGAGAGATAAAGCTTGCGACGAGAAATAATAAAGGGGAGAGCGGGAGGAGAGAGAGGGGGCGAGGGAGCGCGGAGAACCGGACCGGGAGGAAAGAGAGATAAAGAGAGCGGAGGGAAGGGAAGTGAGTTTGTGCGCACGAGTGTGTGCGTGTGCGCGTGTGTGCAGGGGCGGGCGCGGGCGGGGGCGGCCCGGGCTCCTCCCCCCAGCCCGCTCCTCTCGCTCCCTCGCCAACTCCGGGCCCAGCCGCGGGCGGGCACACGGCGGGCGGACAGCATGCTGAGCCTCCTCATCTGGATCCTCACTCTCTCGGATACTTTCTCCCAAGGTAAGGGCTGCAGCCCGCCCGGGACTCGGCTCCCACCCCGGAGCTGGGGGGCGCGCCCCCACTGGGGAGTAACGGGGGGCCGGCGGCCCGCGCGGGTCCCCGGGGTCCCGACGCCATGAGGCGAGGGCTGGGTCCCGGCGCGGAGCCCTGGGGGCGCGGGCACGGAGGAGCCGGGGCTGAAGAGAATGAGTTTTCCGCTGATTTGACCAAGTTGCTCCTCCGGTGCGCGAGGGAGCGGAGGAGAAAGAGACCCGAACGCTCGAAGTCTTTTCCTGAGCCTCTGGCAGCCTACCCACCTCTCCACCCTCCGAGGCCGGGAGTCCGGGCGCCCGGTCCTGCCTGCGGGCAGGGCTGGAAAGGGTGCGATTTCGGATTCGGGGGTGGGGTGGGAGGTGCGCGGAAAGCTGGGGACCCCGGCTCGGGAAGGTGTTGCTAAGGGAATCCCCCTACTCCAGCCTAGCCTCTCGGGGGACCGAGTCCGAGCCCCGGCTCCAGACTGCCTGGGGCTGCCCGTTTCGGAGGGAGGGAGGGGTGCCCCAGGGCTCCCGCCCGCTGGAGGCTCGGATGGGGAGTGGAGTCCCAAAGGCAGTTTCAGGCCAGCTGGATGTGGAGGGGGCGCGTTTTGGAGGGGGCAGGTAACACCCCACTTTGGGTCAGGAAAGTGTTGATGTCGTGAGCTTATTTGGAACTGTCAGGGGAGAGGCTGGGAGATGAGGGAGAGGTTGAAAGAAATGAGGTTAGTGGATCCTCATGGGGGGAGGGCGGAGGGAAGGGAAAATAAAGCGCCCGACTCCAGTCAGGACCCAGCAGCCTGTGGGAGTGGACTCTCGCCTTGTGGGTCTGACTCCACAGAAGATTTAATGCTGCTGGGCTAGCCCCCACCCCCAAAATGGAGCTGATGGAAATTGACACACAAACACCAAAAAACAGTCACAGACACCGAAACAGACTACTCGCCTACTGAGGCAGACGTACCCACAAAGCATCCCCCACACTGAGACAGACACATATACACAAAGACCCTGACACATCTGAGGAAGACAGATTCCTCTCCATATTGGCACATGCTTGCACATTCATGTACCCAGACACAACAAAACTCAGAGACACAGTACACGTCTGCAGGCAGGCAATTACAAGGACACAACACACACTCACTCACACTGAAAACCTTCCATAGATACCAGCCCTCCAGCAAACAAAGCAACTTGAACAGACCTTCGTATAGTCAGACACCTATGGAGATGTGCAGACTACAAAATGGAGGAGGTGGTGGTCTCTTTTGGGGTGGGGGGAATCTGAGAAGAGGGAAGTCAGCTTGGCTAGAACACTCAATCATTGTCATGCCCTGCTCTGTTCCCTTCCCTGGTTTGTAAGTATGTGTTTAAAGGTGGACTGTTATTCTGGACCCCTTCTCCTTGGGGGGGCCCCTCCCAAGCTCCAAAAGCTGAGTGGATGGGGGTGGGTCTTGATCAGTCTTTCCCCATCGAGAACCCATGCTCCCCCTTACACACACACACACACACACACACATTCATGGTAGTAGGAATTGGTGCTGGGGGAGAACGGAGGCCTGGTCCTGGGGTTGGCTGGCCAAGCCAGCCACTTGGCAGAAAGTTGGAAAGATGACTTAAGTTCTGATTTTGTTCAGCCAGGTTGCTAGGGAGGAAGAAATGGGGGTGGGGGCAGCTGGGTCAGTATTGGTATGTGTTGGGGGCAAGCTTATCTGCCCCTTTCTCTGCAGCCCTTACATGTCAGCAACATGGATACGAATGAGTTTCAAGAAACAAAGCTGCAGTTAGGAAACAGGAGAGACATGTGGATTGAATCGGGAGAAAAATGGTCAGAGAGAAGTGTGTTGCCTGCCTTTCTGCCTTTGGAAAGGGGGGAGGGGTTAGGGGTTAGCTGAGCTCCTAAGTCCTTGCTTCCAACAGGGGTGAAAGCAAGACCTGATGAAAGTGTGCAAAAGTATTGGGGGTGGGGTGGTGGGGTGGTGGAGGACAGGGGAATGCCAAAGAAAAGAAAGGGAGAAAATAGACCAGAGGGGAGAGGAAATCACTCACTACTGAGTGTTCTGGGAAGCTGAGCAAGGACTGGGGTGAAGGCAGGGACAGAAAGAGTGAGTATCTGGGAAGATGGGGCAGCAGGGAGGCTTTAGGACCTCCTCTTGTTAGCCTCATCTTTAGAAAGAAGGTGCTCTGGCTCAGGGACTGAGGCAGTGAGAGAGGAACCCGGGATTGCCAGGGGGTGGAGGGAGGGTGGTAGGATGTGGGGAGAAGGTAGCAGGAGGAAGCAGTTGAACTGAGGACAGCAGAGAGGAGAGGGAAGGGGAGAGTCAGCCTAGGCGGAGAAATAAGAATCACATTTTAAAGAATGTCAGTGGGCTTCATCAATCTTCATTTTTTCACTAAATAATTTTCTGTATCTTATCTAAATGAAAACCATTATCCTTACCCCTATTTCCATCATGCGTCAGCTCCTCAGACTGATTGTGCTGAAAATTGAAATATTTAATCATTTTCTGGGAGATTTTCTCGCTCCCAGTCTTGAAGAGGAGAAATTGAAAAAGAAAGATTATAGCTAATCAGAGCAATGTGGGATGACAGGCTGGCTTGAGGTGGGAGCTGCCTCCAGAGTGGGGGGTGGGGGTGGGGGGAGGAGAAAAATCTGTCCCTTCCGCTCCCAGAGGTCCCCTGGGCATCCCTGCCACCAACTGGGAGGGGGGTGAGGAGTAAAGGCAAGAGGCCTGAGGCATCCAAAATACATAGTATTCAACTCCCTGAACACAGCTACATTCTGGCAGAGAACATGAATCTGGAAAGAAGAGTAGTTGGGAGCTGAGTCTCCTCTCCCATGCTACACTCAGACATACACATTTCAGATGTCCCACTTCTGCCTGCTTAGCGCAGAGCAGGCTTGAGGGTGAAGAAAAGGCAGGGAGACAGAGGCAGAAGTCAAGTCTTCAGACTTCCCTCCTTGACTTCAATTGGATTCCACATTCCACTCACTGAGATCTAAGGGGAGGGTATAAACTAGGTACTCAGTGCCTGGGGTTACCTCTGGCCACAGCCCTGGATCAGGAGGACAGGGAGGCCTCTAGGCTTTTCCACCTTCTGCATGGTTAGTTGTCTTGCTCTGCCTTGGTTTTCTGGTTGTGTGGGCACCAGGAAAGCTGCCATGTGGGTCCCCTTGACTTGAGAACCAAGTACTCTGATGGAAGCTTCTCTAGGCCCTCTTTATATCTTTGCAGACCAGGTCTTCATTTCTTTATTGCTTTTTCAGTTTCTGACACAGTGCTATGCACATGGTAAGTGTTCTATCAAGTATCCGATTGATTGATTTGATGAGTGCTACAATGTTAGACCGCAGTATTAAATGGTGATGACATCACAGCTCCCTGGTTAACCCCCCAACCCTTGGCCACTTAGTGGTTGTCAGCTTAAACAATGTATGTGCCTTCTCTGTGCATCAGTCTGCTCACCTGTAAAGTGAGGATAGAAATAACACCTCATAGGGTTTCCATGGCAATTAAATATGTGAATCCACGTAAACTGCATGGAACAGTGTGTGGCACAGAGAGAGGTGCTCAGTAATGCTATGGCTCTGTGGCTCAGCATACATGGAAACACCATTGAGTTGTCTGGGCCTCTTTTCTAGTTCTTTTGTTTGATGCTTCTTTTCTGTTTTCTTGCTCTAGCTGCCCAGATTCTTGGTCCTGGGCTCCAGCGCCTCTTCTTGGGTCTCTGGTGGAGAGAACTGGGTTGTGGCAGGCAGACCCAGGAGGGAAACTGACCCAGACTCCACCTGGTTGGAGAACTCAGTCCAGGTCTGGGCATGGGAACTGGGGAGAGAGCCAAGTGGGAGTTCGGCATTCTAGTGAGAAGGAACCAAGGGTCTTGTGAGAAATGAGGAGGGACACTAGCCCCAGGTGGCAATACCACTGGCCTCAGGAGTCTGGAAATAACAGGGATCATTTAGTGAGCCCTGTGCTAACTACTTTATATGCATTATCTAATTTAATCTATACAGTGACCCCCTGAGATCAGCTTTATAATGATCTCCATTTCATGGATGAGAAATTGAGGTTTAGGCAGGTTAAGTGTTTTGCTGGCAGTTGTGGGAACCAGCTGACTCAAAGCCTGCACCCCTCCCTTTTGCCAGGGGTCCCACATGCCGGCAGGAATGGATGATGCTAGGCTAGGACAGAATCCCACAGAGGTGAAGCACTGAGCGGGACCTGGGGGCAATCCCAGGACAGTCAGCTTCCAAAGCAGCCCAGTCCCTGGCAGACAGGGAGGCTGGGTGTTGGAAGGCCTGTTCCACTCGGCTATGGGAGGCCCTGCTCTGGCCTGTGGTGGTGAAAAGTGATCACAGGGCCCTGGCCAGTTTGGCTTAGCGGTTGAGCGTCAGCCTGCGGATCAGAGAGTCCTGGGTTCAGTTCCCTCTAGGGGCACATACCGCCCCCCCCCACACACACACACACAAAGTGATCATAGGAAGTGAGCTCCTTACCAAAGCATCAAAATGACTTTTTATTGAATTCCTACTGTGTGCTTTTCCTATTCCTTTTTCTTTTTAAGGAGTTAATACTAGTCCCATTTTATGGATGAGGAAACAAAAGCTCAGTTTAATTAACCTGCTCAAGGCCACACCTGGGGTGGTAGAGCCAGATTTAAACTCTGTCTCATTAAAAATCCAAACTCAGCCAGGCAACCTCCACTGCGGACAGGGCAGTGTCTCCCATGGAGCAGAGGCTGCTGTGCAGGGCAGAGGCCTTCCTTCCCCCTTCCCTTCAGTGCCAGAGAGGCTTCTCCTGCTGCCTCCCTCCGCGTCTTCCCCTCCACGCAGCCCAGGACACCTCGCCTGCATCCATCTCTGTGCCTCGCTTTGATAATTATGTGTTTTGTACAGTGGAGGTAGAGAGTGGTACATATTGCCCTTGTCTGTCGGAAGAGGGAGGTTTGTCGTAACTCAGACCTCTTTCGAGTTTTTTAACTTTG